AAAAATATAATTAATTTAATAAAAAAGAAAAAAACCTCTCTGATAAAAAATTCAATTTATTCTTCATCACTTACAAAATACTGTCAAAAAATACTATCACTATTATTTACAAACATTGTAAAACTTAAATGTAAACTTACATTATTAGGACCATGATTCTTATTGATAAATCCACAAAAATATTATTTATAAAATATTTATAAAAGGACACTTTTTTCTAATTTAATTTTAGCACACGATGGCAGCGAGATTTATATTTAGTTCGGGTAAATATAATAGTAGGACAATTCTGTTAATTTTTACGTAATAATATCATCTCAATAGAATCTCAACTACTTTAATTTGCCATTGTACTATCTACCCGAAGTCCAATATTACATATCTGTCACCATTGATTTGTGAGTAAGACATTGCAATAATAATACTTATTTGACATTAGATTGACGTTTGCTAGATAGTACAATGGTAAAATTCAAGTTATGCAAATTCTATTGAGATGCAATTATTATGTGAACATTAACAGAATGAGTAATAGCTTTCTTAAGGTTACAGCACACTTATATAGCACAGCTCCAACCAGCAGAGCGACCGCTAACTCCTCTAGCTATAACTAGCCATAGCGCTATTTCGTTTTATTTTACTTTGACTTGTACTTTATTAACGAAGAAGGAATTCGTTCTACTGCTGCTATATCATTATAAAGACAGATTAATATGGATATGACAGCAGTGTTTCTAAGCAGTGTTAGTCATTTATTGAAAATTAATCTACCAAAGGAGATGTCAAAGTAATAAAATGAAACGAAATATTGTTGTAATACTCGCTAAATGTCGTATTCTATGTATAGAGAGTTAGGCGGGCGCATCCTCTTTTTTCTGTTCTGCGGTGGCACCTCGGCGATTTACTTGACGTATAAATTTGAGCATTTAACCCATGATAGGTATATATTTCATAACGTTAATATTAAAAGGCAATGACAGCTGCCAACTTATTTTTTTTTTATAATGACATTACATGTATTAAATGACATACGATTTAACAGTGTAATTTCAGGCCAAATCCAAAAGGTAAACGCCAATAATGAAAAAAATGTACACACAGCGTCACTCTCAAAGAACTGAAGTTTTAGATGTAATTTTTTTTTCTAACGCATTAAGGTTTAAAATCTATAGGTGTATTTTGAGTTTTTATATTACTCAAACCATGCTGTTGACAGTTAATACAATAAATTTATTTTTAAAAACAATTCAAACTATCTAAAATATACAACGTATAAGAAGTAATAAAAGCAATTTTCCCAGTAAGCCAAACTCTTCCTTCCTATGCTAAAAAAATATTACAATGTTTAAATTGAAACCTACTTAACATTACAAAAGCAATAAGTATTAATGACGCAAAACAGCGACACACATTCAGACATTCGGTATAACAAAAAAACATAATAAAGTCTCCTCATCCCCTCTTAACCGCTGATGAAGTAATGGGTCCTGGAGACGATTAAATGCACTTGACAAATCTACGAGATTGTAGCAAATAGTATCTATTGCTACCCGTCATGCGGTCTACGACTTGATCACAATTGACAGAAATGTTTATTAACGGTATTTGATGCCCTTGCGCTTGACGGGACTTGACCGCCATCAGGGAAAATATACAATCAAAAACGTTTAGACTTGTCAAGTGCACTTGAACGTTTCCGGGGGCCATAATAATTCAAATGAATCCTGACTTACTCATCAGGATACCATAGCGTCAAAACATGCGTAATGTGATTTCGTTCCCGGTGCCTTTAAAGTTAAATTGGGAGATTAAAAGGTTAAAGTTACGGAGATTAAAAGTTAAATTGACGCCATTTAGAAATAATTAAATAATTAATGCATGAACGTCCCGTATTGTATATTTATCTATATGAGAAAATTCCATACAAACTTAACGGGGGTAAGTTTATATGGATCCACCCTTTTAGGTTTTTCATTTCTAAAAATCCTTTCTTAGTGCTCACTTACATCATGAAAGGAAAGAAACCCCTGTACTAAATTTAAAGTTTTTAGGTACAGTAGTATCGGCTGTGCGTCAATATATAAGTCCGTCAACTTTGACTTATATATACATATATATATATAATTTTTTTATTCGGCCGTCAACTGCGATGCCAATAATCTCACTCGTCTGGCATCTGCATTTGCGTCTCATGGACGCTAAAGGTAGCTACGGGAGCAATTCTGACATGGCTGCCAAGGTAGGTACCTAATTAGAAATTAGCTCTAACTGAAGCAGAGGAAGAATTCCACATATCTAGAACATGTTTTATAAAATGTCGAGCCGGAGGTTCGGTCTTACGAGGCTTATCTCAAAGAAATAGCAATAGTGCTATAAAATATATATTTTTGTCTATGATTATTTTAAATACTATTTTAATTTTATTATTATTTGTAATTTATTAATAAACATGGTTTAACATTCGAAATATCCCTGTAAGTCTGAAGAGTGGTTTAATTTTTTCATCACATTTTAATTTATTGTTATATAATTCGAGATATCAAAACTTATCGAGTAAAATCATTATAAAATATAGTTCTCTTACAGCTATCGGTTTTTTCGACTTTGAGGTAGGCGATAGAGCAGCAGTTCAATAAACAATCAATTTCAATAAGAAATATATGATAACATTTAATTTATAACAACTTTAGGCATTAAATGTAAATGCGCCTTAGTTCAGATATTATCTACTAGAACAGATCTACATATCAGATATTTTACAATACTAGGTAAGCGACACTTATGCTGGTTTTCACTAAACTTAGGGGTCGCCCAAATCTATCGCCTGAATATTTAGGAAATGCATTTGACTACTGACTAGGAACCACCTATTAAACAATGTCTAAAATTATGATATTCGTTAGGCGGCGCTTTGCGTTAGGCATTTGCTTATAAGAGAGGTCATAAACATGTCAAGGTATAAAAGAAAAAATATTTCGTATTAATCTATAGCTTATGCGATTCGTAAGGTTAGGCGTTTCCTTGTTAATATGCCTTGTTCTAGGTTAGTGAAAACGGAGATTTTTCTATCTATATCTTCATGTTTTTCATGGTTTCAATATTCATCCATAAAGAGTAATGAAAGTGGATGAGGCAAAAGATGTACTATCTGCCTACTCTCGCAACGGATACGGCATATTGATAAATTTCTGAATACTTAATCTACCTATTATTTCTGAAAATTACACGATTTTCGATCCTAAACTTAAATCAACAGAGAAATAAATCAACATATTGGCATATACGCTTTATGCTCATCAAGTATTTTTTTCCATTTCATAGTTTTTTATTTTATAATTTAGACTTTATTATTTCAGAATACGATTGACTGCACTATCGAATAAGTGCTTCGCAATATTGTAAGTATCAATTTAGGTCCTATTTGTTTGTAAATAAATTTCCCGATAAGCTAGCGGAGTTTGATCGAACCATTTATTACGTGGACTGCTAATACTTTTTCATTAGGTTAAGAAATGGATTACTGCACGCCCGCTCTCTCCAGCAGGTACAAGGTGGATTAGGTATTTGGATCAAGCATCACATAATACTAGGAATAGGTTCACCTAATATCAAATGTACCTAGTATATAACTGTCATCAGAGCTGATCATGTTAACTTTCACGTGTATCGCGAAAACCATTACATCCGTATCTGTAATCGAGCAAAAGTAATTACTTTCTCGACTATAGATACGGGTGTAATTATTAGAGATTTTGATGATGGGATATTATGTCTGATACACGCAAGTTCAAAAATGTTCTACAGTTTCAACGTTAGCAAGAATCAAATAATTTTGATAATGATTTTGTTTTTTTTATAAATATAAAGAATTACATTCCAAGCACATTTTGTCCCAGTATTGAATTTTCGGAATCTCATTTTAATTACGATTGATAACTTGTACTAATTATGTATACTCCAACCTTTTTCTTTAATGGTAATTGATTTCTTAATCGGTGCACATACTCAAATTTTATCATCTAAAAAAATTAAGTAAGTGTTAAGGCTTTTCATCTTACTTGAACTATTATCCCAAACAGTAACATGTTAATAATTTTCAAACCTAGTATTAATTTTCAATAGACGGTACTCTACATTCTAATATGACAGTAAAAAAAATCAATTATGAAAAAAATCGAAGATTAGTTTACACTTCCCAGACAATATAACCTTTATTCTGTATACCTTATGGTCGAGAAAACAGTGAAACATGTATATATATATCAGCACTTGATTTTTAAATCTATTATCAATGCATTAAGGTATAAAATTTGACAGATTCATATAATCTGATGAGCCTTGACATTACCTGTGCAGAATGCTTTTAAAAGTACTGCAAATATCGACCAATCTCTATCAAACTGATTCTCACTGAGTGGTACAGTGATCGAAACCATGTCCACTGAATTTTCAATCGTATAGTTATTGAAACAAGGCTGATTATAACTTTAATGATAAGCTCGGGCATATTTACGTTAACAAATTCTTGCTTATGTACTTTAAATTCTTAACCTACAAAAACACTTAATACTAACTTAATTGTTACTTAAATGCGTTGGGACTGCCAGATTAACAACTTAGCCAAAAAATTACAATAAAAAAAGGTTTTTTGGTAAAATTTTCAACGTTACAAAATATATCTAATCCTAAAAATATTGTAAAAAGTAGAAAAAATATTTTTTCCTCTAATTTTATTTTTAGCAACAATTTACGTTTGTACTTGCGAATGAGCATCGTTTATTATTGCATTTTCAAATATTATTTATTTTTGTTTAGAACGAAGATAAAGAGAAAGACAGTTTTTTTTATTATTTTTGGCCGCCATTTTTGCAAGTGCATATTACAAAATTAGATTGTGGTGTAAAAGTGGTGTGGGTTTGCTTCTACATATGTGTGTATACTATATCTTATCTATTAGGGCTGTCAGATAGTTTTAGCCTTAGGGTTCAACATTTGACAGCATGGTATCTTTTTTACATTAATATAATGTTCCTTTTCTAATGCTCAAATATGTCATTTGCAAGAGCGAGTAAGATAGCTTATCACCTATATCCTCTCGATGATTCCGGGGCGTGTTATTATCGCATAACCTCTATCTTTCTTGTTTTAACAAATGGCGGTTTAGATCGACAGAAAAGGGCAATTCCATGTTGGCAAATACAATGCAGCCCTTATCTGTTCTTATAATCTCAAATTACTCGCTTTAGTGTGGCAGCAAAAAATAATCAGTCTCAATCAGAGAAAAAGTAGAAAATGTCTACTCAACGTTGGATATGAAATAGTATTAATTAACTTAGTATTCTAGAACATTACATAAGAGGTTCGTCTGTGAAGTAAGGATGTTCTAAGCAGTCTAAAGCTGTGAGACGCTTTGCTGGATCGAAAACGAGCATTCTCTGTAATTTAAAATATATATATATATTAATTTTATTTTAAAATTATAAATAAGGGATTTTACTGAGCAAAATTATGTAATATGTTTTAATATAATGTTGTAATACAAGAAAAAAATATGTGTTGCCAGTGTTCAAAATCTAATATTGGCGTTCGTTATTTATTCGGACTTTTTTCTTTATCTGTTCTATAAGATGTAGCTTCGTACCAAATTTCAAGATTCTGAGTTCATGGGAGGTACTCTGTAGGTTTTGAATCCCTTACATAAACGACTATATCTTTTGATTGCGTTGGCTTATAAGTTTATTTTTTACAGATACAAAGGGCAGTGGACCTAAGTATTTGATATAAATTAATCTTGATACCTCCACGCGTTCCTGAGAAAAAGGGTCTTGACAGCCGAACGGACGGACATCAGGGTAATAAAGCCTCAGATTTTTCCTTAACAGGTACTGATCCCTAAAAATCTTCGTAAATATGTTCTAATAACGATAATAAACCAATGTGCTCTGATAAAAAAAACACCTATTGGGCATCATGTTTCATATGGCATTAAAATCCAAAATAGACTAACATACAAATTTCATAATAATCATTATATTGGTAGAATTAGTATTTCTTACCCTTATGAGGTCTAGCGCGTCGGGGTGTATATTAGGTATGACGTCAGCGAGATTTTTAGGCGGGTAGTCCGGAAAACTGTCCGGCAGTATAGAAACATTGTCCGGCCACTCAAATCTCGACGGTCGACCAAGGAGTCTAAAAAAATAACGAAAAATTTATAATTTCAAAACAATATCATATATCTCAAGCTGATGAGTGGGTTTTGTATTATATTTAATTTCCGTCTGAAAAGATGGTACCACAATATACTTACTCAAGAAATAGAAAAGTAATTTTTAATATTTATTCAGCCGGGAATCGAACGCGGGAACTCACAGATGGTAACATCATGCGGCCTGGGGCTCTATTTTTGAATCATTCGTCTCGCGTCGAGCGCTCGTTTTCTACTGATTTTCGTTCGACTTAACAAATTCGCCATTTCTAAATCGCTCGACTGCAACGAGTGGTATGAACCACTCGTCGCTTAGCGAACGTTGTATGCGAGTGATAGAAGAAAACGAGCGCTCGACGCGAGACGAATGATTCAAAAATAGAGCCCCTGATCGATCACGAAAGTTCAGTGATTTTCTCGACTTATCATTAATAGTCTTATTAATATTGCCAATTTTATACTACCTGAATATACAGTGCAATTGTTCCGAATCAGATGTTCCTGGCATCAAGGGTGCTCTGGTGTGCAATTCAGCTAACACGCAACCACATGACCACACGTCGACCGCTGTATTATAAGACACGCCTAGAAGAACCTCCGGCGGGCGGTACCACAGGGTTACAACCTAGGGACAAGTGTTTATCTCTACATTTTGGCAATATATATTTTTTTAATTCATGCCATATGAGGATAAGTGCAAATCTAACAGACGAGCACGCGTAGCATGACAAACCCCAGAAACGCTTTGTCTACACTCATTTGTCAGTTTCTCGGGTCAAGAGTGAGATATCGTATGGGCGCACCCGAGAAAAGTGACATTTGAGTGTAGACAAAACGCTCTCGAGTTCGTCATGCTACGCGTGCTGGTAAGCGTTTTTAACGTATACTCACGGAAGTATACGTTAGTACGCGACAAACTTAGATTATATAATGTCCACGAATTATCTGTTGAGTGTGCAAGATTGAATATCATTTATACATAGTATGAAACAAAATAGTTTTCTGCTGTCTCTACACTGAGATCTTTTCAACTACATAATGTATTATAATGCGGTATTTATAAATATACAGTGATTTAAGAGATAGGTTAATATACAAGACCACGCAGGTGAAGCCGACAGGACAGCTAGTATCATATATTTGTCAGTCGACACTCCGCAGCACATGTTTCGTGAGATATGCACCGGTCGGTCAAGGTCGAAATAAAACACTACCGAGCCTAAAGGTGCATTCACACATGCGAACAAATGTGACAGAGTTTAGTAAAGTCAAGAACATCATCTCTTACCACACTTGTGAGTTTCATATCCGCATCATAAGTTTTGGCGAGTCCGAAGTCAGCTAATTTGACGCGACCAGCGCGTGTCACTAGTAGATTGTGAGGTTTCAAATCTCGATGCACGATGCGATGCGAATGCAAGAAGTCTATGCCCGACAAAATGTCATAGGACATGCTCTGTGGAAGATTTATGTGAAATATTCAAAAAGAGTCTATGCTGTTAAGACGTATTTTTCCTGGTGGATAGGATTCACATAGGGATGCGGGAGATCGCATCCGGCGGGTCATTGTCAATTGACTGACTAAGTAGTAGTAGAATTATTTTAATACTCGAAAAATAAAATAAGGATAACCATATGTTTATTCATTAATCTAAATTGGCCCGTGAAATTGTTTAGTCACGTCATTTCGAGCTGTGGCGTCACATTTCAATAATATATGTGAATACTGATTGCACTTGCAACAAAGGCGTTGACGTTTAGTTTATAGAAATGTGACGTCACATTTCAATAAAATATGTGAATACTGGTTGCACTTGCAACGAAGGCGTTGACGTTTAGTTTATAGAAATGTGACGTCACATGATGCTCCATCATGGTCGTCCGAGTTTGGTTTCTGTGACCCATAAATTATAAATCGCAAGTTCATTTTATATCAATAATACTACATAGTTATTGTTTACATATGAATAACCATTTCAGGAATATCAATTGGTCCGTCAAATCGCTTGAAAATTTGTGTCCGTGTAGTCTTCATTTAGAAATACGCTATGGACGTGTGACGTCAAGGGCGCCGCACTCGCTGTACTGAGTCACTCATGCATTGTACCGATTTCTTATGTAATGTTTCTTATATTATCGCGAAGTTACCAGTCGCGAAAAATAGTTTGTTTCTTTTTGGTCAATCCTGTATCTGTATCGATAACAGATCGTAATAGGGAATTATTGAAATAAATGTATAACCCACTACACTATGTCATTTTTTTTTTAATGGCTAGCCGCCCTATTGGACGGCTGATTCAACTACTTGGCTGCGACATATATAATATGATATAATTTAGATGAGAGATTGCACAGCTGATATCGCTCCTAATACGCAATTTCATGAGTAATATGCGATTCTTCATACGTTTACTCGATATCGAATTGCATCGTATCGTGCCACGAGTAAAGAACTTTAGGCTCAACACAATAAGTGGTTTCCTTGTTTGAAGATTCGACATCTTAGGTAATTTTTGACCAAATACAGGTCAAAAGTACCAGGGACTATGGCGCACGCTGAGCGAGTGTGATAAAATAACATCACAGCAGCAACTTTGCGTCTTGCGCCTAACTTAAAAATGTAATATCTTGAAAACCAAACGACGTACAGAAAAAATAATTTTAACGTATTATTAATTTTTAATAGAGTATACTATACCGTAAAAATAAAAAAACCAATGAAATCCCTCGTTGTCTACTAGAATTTGGAGATTTGTAACACATATGACATGATTTGCATGATATTGTGCAATGAAAAATATTTAGTGAGCATAATTCCTTAACATAATTCATCTTCTGAATTCAAAGCCACGTTTAAAAACATAATGTGAATGTAAATACTCTGAATACAAAAAAGGTGAAGCAAATGACTTGAAACTGTGACCTTACTACATCACAAAAAATTGTAAAAAGTGTCAACAGTAGCTTCGACTAACAAGTAAAGCCTGAGTATGCAAATGCTACACCAAATATCCATCTAACCATAGTCATCCATCACCAAAGTACTGGCATACTCACTGAGAAAACTAAGGTATACTAATAATATATACAGCCTTATTTTCACTTGAAATATTCATTCTAAAATTAATAAATTTTGATAGATAGACACAAACATTAACACTGGTATTTAATCCTGAGCTGCCCTGCGATTCCAAACCCGAAAACCCGAATTCAAATTCACTCAGGCAGGTGTCTGAATTCATTTCGAAAGCGGCATCCGCCCAACCTTGAATTGGTAATAACGTTTTGTGGCATAAGTGAAATGACATTATGATAGAAAGTCTGAGACACATTTTATCAACCAATATGATCTTGTATTTTTATACATTACAATTAATACACAACGGCTAGTTTCACAAACGTCTATTAAAATTTTCATTAGTTTAAAGCGCTATTACCCATACATATTTGACATTCATTAGAGCTTAAAGGCGTCATTAAATCTTAATGGACGTTTGTGCAACTGATAGTATGTGACGTCAATTCGGACACATGAGTGAATTAGAATTCAGGTTCGGATTTTTACGGAACCACTCCCCAGATGAATAATTTTAATGGCGCTTAAACAAGGATGACCTGCTTATAATAAGTTTTGATTTTGTGGCTTTTAATATTATAATATTGCCTGGGTGGAGTAGCTAAGTGTGGAAAAATTAGAGCACAGTGTCAATTGGCATATCTAACTAAGCTTGTACAATCCAATCAATGCTTTCCAGAAGCAGAATGTAGTTAAGATTGAATAAAAATCTGACATACCCTTATCCTGTTTTCTGATAGTGGACCCGGAGATCTCTTCAAGAAAGAATCTAAATCTTGTTCGACATGTTCGAACACCAGAAACAGCACAAGCTGCTGATCTCTTTCCATTGATTGTCCACCGTGGCATACATCCAGGAGTCTATGGACAAGATAAGTTATTTTAGAACTCTATATCATATATTAATTTATTCAAAAAGCATCTCATTTTAGGACAATTGAAATGGATTTTATGGATGTTAAGAACTGAATATGCACCTTGAATAAATAACTTAATCTACCTCCCTAAGCATATAACACACAATAAACATCAGCATCACTAATATGACCCAAACAAACTTGCACCAAGCTATTCGCCTCTAAATTTATCGTGCGAACTGCTACCAAACTTGTTGTTTCCAGACAAATACAATCTGGGACTCTTCAAGTCAAGAGTGAATCGGTTCCTTCTAGACAAGCATCTCCATCTTAGACCACTGCATTGCTTAACATCAGGTGATCTGTGGTCAAGTGCTTGCCTATCTAGCATAAAAATAAATAAAATTCATCATCAGCCCTTTTACATCCCCACTGCAGGGGCTCAGGCCTTCCTTATGGATGGTTAAGGAGGTTGGGCCATGACCTTCCATGCTGGTCCAATAATAAAAAAAAAGAAAGCACTAAAAACACTTCCACTAGATGGCAACCCTAGCAAAAGTTGATATTTGCAGTAAACAAATTGACCAAAGACAGTCATTTCCCTTCCTTTTAACTAACATATTAAAAACTGAAATTTGACAAGTTAGAAACTAAGATATCAATACAAATACAAAAAAGTACAAATAGAATATGAGTGTTTATTTAGTTTTGAAAACTAATTTACTTTTAAACAGAAAAGAAAACCGAAAGGGTTGTCATGGAGAAATCAAGAACTGTAGCAACTTAAATCTAGTTTGATTTCGTAAAATTAATATTTTTTTAAATACTTCCTCATACATAAAAAATTCAATTCTAATTCAAAGGATATTATTTGTCATGGTAATCATGCATGTTAATATAAATAAATTATTTATATATTACCTTACAATATTAGGATGTCTATATGCTTCTAATTGTCTTAGCAATGCTATCTCTCTTACTGTTGACAATGGTATACCATCTTCAGTTAATGCGACCTTCACCTTTTTCATAGCCACAATGTGACCATCGTTGAGAAGGTCTCGTGCTTTGTAAACTGTACCATATGCTCCTAAAAATAATGATCATAAAACAGCGAATTGATAATTATAATATTGTTTTTAATTATCTCCTCCTTTTGGATTTTGAAGTTGGTTAATAAATAAAGTTTACTGGTTGTTAGGATACAGATTAAATAATTTAGGTCTAATCGCAAACAAAACAACACCATCAAAGCTAATTGAGTAATAACAACTAACAACTTCCAACACAAAAGACATTGCTAACATAGTTTATAAACTTATCTTTTATTTACCTACATTTAAATTACATAATTATTGTTACTGTGTGCATCTAGTTACTATGTGCACCTAGGACTTATTAGATTTAGCAAATTTTTAAGTTCTATCACTTATTATTACAAACACTTGTAATGTTTAAACTATGTTCTTTATTTGTTAGATTAGTAATAATTAGTATATGCATATTGTTAAAAAAATGTATGTTCGCCGGCACATGGTATAAATTTAAGGTTACATAGTTAATTCTATTTACCTGTCCCTATAACGTTGATTTCTTCATACTTCTTTGCATTTGGGAGCAAGCCGTTAACATTGCTGAAGGATGAAGAAGAAAGAGGACTTCGTGGAGTACTGGTGCTTGCCGACATTATTCAAAAAACGATAACAACCTTTTGCAAACTCGACAACAAAACTGATATGTAAACACTAAAACATGACGCTAATGTAATACCTCAGTGCTTACTATAAATATTCGATACCATGTTTCACTACTATTTAATATAAGTGGCGGTTTATTTACAAGTGCACATTCACATATATCACGTAAATTAAACAAAACAATAAATAGCGCGGACACTCTTTCACTTGTCTTGCCGAAAATCGTTAATATATCGAAATAGGTTTGGCAAAATAAAACGATTAAACGAGATATCGATTTTTTTTCAGAAATTAATCGATATGAGTTAGCACTGTTTTTCCGCGATTTTACGACCTTTTGATATTTATTTTCGAATATCAAAATCTCTAAATTTTTAAAGCTTTAATTTTTTAATGACCAGACAGCTCATGCATTCGTCTAATCCGATCACTTAAAGAACAATGGCCATCTGCCTAACATGCTTGGACTAGTAAAATCGAATAAAACGTAACTTGATGAAACATATGTTATTTTGTTTGCCTATGCAACTAGAACAAAGAAAGACATTAAATATATTTTTAAAAGCTGGGAGTATCGAGTAATTGTGTAATATGTCTTTGAGGTTATGTCGTATTATTTAAACTGTAGCATTTTGAGTTAGAAGTATTACAGTTGAAATATGTAAAGTACATATCATATAAAGCCTAATCGTAGTCCTAGAAGTGCATACTTTCACATAATACTTCAAACTTGCTCCATGTCTGATAAATTATTTTTATTGACTGTAAGAAATAAAATCATTTTTTGTGACTCTCAATAACTCTAGGTTCTAACTTACACTATAATTTATATAAAGTAGTAGTGAAAATACTAATTTCAAAAGGATATAGCAAAACAACATGTTGATTTTTCTTTTCTTTATTACAACTCTAATGAATACTTTATCACGGAATGCTGCAGGAGCAGCTACATTCTGTTCGTGTCTGGCTCATCCAAGATACCAAACCATGGTCATTATATGAGCACAGCATCCCAGTGTAGATCGACCAATAAGACAATTACAGCAGTGTTCTCTTATGCCATCTAACCCAGATGTGTCATTATTCTTTAAAATGTACACATAATATTGTTTCCTCCCAATGTCTCGACTTAATTCTACTCCTTATCATTAGGACTTTATTTATATTTAAGTCTAATTCTAATTAATCCAAAAAATCCGGTATTTCTCTCCAGACCTCAATTCTATACTGCCCATGGAATCTAGTATGCTCCCCATAATATAGAAGATAATACAAAATCACCGCCAAAGTTACAAAACGGTCTGCGTAGAAACACATCTACACATATTTGTCTAAAAAAGGGAGGTCACAATCGATTGAAAATTGTAATATCGATTCTTATGAATAATCACTTGTTTTTAATTTCATTATAAATAAACTATTTTACTCTAAGTAACATCTTATTATATTAATAATCTAATCTAAGTTTTACAATTTTCACAGATTTATATGGTTAGTAAATAATATAAGATTTTTAACAAATTCGATTTGTCAGAAATAAAATCGATCTTGTTCTTTGAAAAGAGAGGGACTTCTCTAGGAATGACATTATTAATAAGATGCGTTCAAAAATAACATAATTTAAACTGCGTTCTAAAAAATAAAGACATATTTTAGAGAGGATTATCTTTCTTTTCCCAGCTTTTAAAAATAAATTGTTGGTGTATAATAATTACATTCAACTTATACTATATTTTGGTGATAGTTCCACCTTGGTACAAGAACTTTTTTTTCGTAGTCCATTTTGACCATTGTTCTGTAGGCTGTATGGGTTTAGTGTCCTTTGCTTTATGTATTTACTTTCAACTTTCACATATTTTGACAATGTTTATTGATAATTGCTTAATACAAAAAAAAAGAAAACTAATTTAAAGGTAAGTTAGCTTGGAAAAGGTTTTTAAAAGCTATGGAAATCTATGGATGGAATATTGCTACGAAATTAAATAAAATGGCATATCAATACGGTATGTAATAATATTACCGTGTCATTTTTTTTTATTAAAATTCGTATGGCAAAGCAGGTCTAGGTATTTTTCATTATAATATTTAACACTCTCCGATATTTTAATTTCGATTTAACTATCGATATCGAAATAAAGAATAATAATATCGAGGTCTGTCATCTGTCAGTTCTTTTTTTATGTGGTAGTTTAAGTACTTTATTGGAATAAACAATTAAGCATATCTATACTAATACTAATAATATTATAAAGAGGCAATATTTGATTGTAAGTTTGTTTGCAACGAATAGACTCCGAAACTTCGGAATTCAACCGATTTTAATTTTTTTAATAAATATGTATAATACACAGCACTTGATAAATAACTTAATGTAGCGCCATCTTTCGAGGAGTAGTTGAACTTTATATGAGTAGTTGAACTTTATGTGTACTTTATATGTACAGACATTTATAACAACTATTACATAAAAATTTAAGAGGGCATCGTAATGATATCACTAATATAAAAATCGCAATACGAATATATACGTTGTAACGGTATTTTTAATAAAGTGCATAAAATATTTCCAATTCATTGAGGTTTCTTATAAAGTGTAACTAAAATAAGGTAAAAAGCTTTTTTTTGACATTTAGATTGTGCATCATCAGAAATAATTTTTAAACAAAAATACAAGATATTAAAAAAAAATCAAAACGATTATTGGGCTCGTCCGGGATTTGAACCCGGGACCTCTCGCACCCGAAGCGAGAATCATACCCCTAGACCAACGAGCCGATAATAAAGATGGCGAAATACATAATTCAGTTATACGTTTAATGACGTAGATAATCTTTTATTATAAGATTTCATATTACAAAATCATTTTCATATGAAACGGAAACATTTGAAAGTTTTATTTATCTACCCTAAAGTGCGTAGATATTTTTTCTTTTTGTTATATCCTGCATTAAACACAAATTAATATTATGGTTAACAGTAACAAAATTTAAAATCTATAGTTTTAGCACCAAAACAAGACCGAATCACCTCAAGGCGTTTTAGAAAGTTGACGCGCGAAAGGAGAAAAAAATTACCGCTACATGACACCCTATACCCGTCTTACTCACTTCCGCTGCGGACTCATCGTCCATCTCCGTCGTGCGCGTAGCTTCGGCTCAATCGTTTCCAATTGAACCAGTCGAATACGAACATAGACCGCGTTCGTCGCCGTATGTTCCATTTTCAAAAATTTCAAAAGAAAATTTGCTTGAGAACTTTTTAAACTTTTTTTTTATTTTAAGCTAAGGAGTCTAATCCTCCCAGCATAAATTACTGTAAATTTTGTGTGACTTGTGTTAATACTATTTATGTTGTACAGTGTGTAAAATGTGAAAGTTCTTGAAGAAAACAGTGACGGATATACGTTAATATACATTTTTACTACATTCTATCCCACTTTTTGTGGTACAACAGCTGTTTCGAAATAACTGGACTTCACTGGTATGTAAATAGTCGTTCAGAACAGAATTCTTTTGAAATAGTTAAATAATAATTTATGATTATGTATTTCGTAGAAACCTCTTTATTTACTCTTTATTTATAGTTAATTAATTAGTAAGCTATAAATAAGATACACATATGATTTAGATGTTTGATGTGGTGCGTTGATGTCTTTTAACTCGGTCTGGTCGCTTCCAAGTATAAATATTTTTTTTAGAATTGCTTTTAAAAATAATACTTGGAGTCTTATATATTATAAAAACTAATGAATGAATATAAGACTCCAAGTATTATTTTTATTCATCAGTTTTTACGTTTAATTTTGATGATTTCCTTAGAACGTCTATTCCAAAGCCTCTCTGAATATCTATATAATATTTGTCTTTTATCTGGGTGATGATGGGCGGCATTTTTATTCATATGGTAATTTCAACTGTAGTGATTTTGCAAGTATCTACCATCTTTTTTTCGCAATAAGTTCAACTACTTTCTTCGTGACTTGGCGGATACAGAGCATTCCAAAAAGTTCAGGTTGTCATCAATCGTTTGATTGAATCGCTCATTAATAGCATGAAACAACAGTATCAAATTAAAACGATGTGGAAGATGGGAGGAGGATAAAGCTTATCTTTACGATCAGAATCATTAAAACATCTTCTCGAATATTGGCTCATACTTTCAATTAAACAACAAAAAGTCTCTTCTAGATTTCTAGATCAAGATCATGCTTTTTGATATCAGACTACGAACGATACGAACTTCTCCATTAAATAATGGATAAAACTCTCGAGATGAGAACGATAGCTTACGTTTTGTTATAACTGTTCCACCACGACGGAGTTGAATTGTAAGAAACTGATAGTCAAACTTCAGACGGTAATATCAGGCCCGGATCTACATTTTTTTCGCACTACTTCTACCCCTCCTCTCCATTTCACCCACGCAACGTGAAACCAGATTTTATATTATCATATTTTTGCACTGTATGATTTTTATCTTTTATTTATATTTTAATTCAGTTAAAAATTATTTAACTGTAAGTAAGTAAATAGACGATGATTTTGGCGCCGCCTGACACTGGCGCCCAAGGCAAGTTGCCCTCACTTGTCCTCCTAGAACGGGCCCTATTATTTTTTTTATTTAAGAAAAAGAAATTGACAAAGGAATCCCGTCACTACATTGTTAATTAAGCCTCATTGGTTGAGTTAATATCATAATTGTTCATACGGTATTCTTCACGGTAGTAGACATATAGGTGAGTTTGTGGTATTAAAAGTCATATAAGCGTTGTATTAAGATGTGTATAACGCTTATTAGTGAATTATATTTGAGAATATCATATGCTAAGATCCCAAGTAAACTCACTAAATACAAAATATACCTACTCTAAGACAACATACATTCAGCAAGACTAACTTGGAACATAACAGCGGATAAAAATGAAAGAAATAATAAACTAAGACAAGTGAAGGAGAGAATGAAGAAAATAATAATGAAAATAAATGTTGGT